TGATGTCTCATATTCTATGCCGTTGCGTAATAGAAAGGATACCTAGGCTTCATCAGATGCTGAAGCTGCCTCGAATGTTTTGGTCTTAACCCTTCTTCTTGTTCAGAAGCAACTAAGCTAGTTAGCCAATTCGTACCTCTGGCGTTGGGAGCGGAGATCGCCCCGATTGATTCTTCGTCAATCAAGTCGAGAGTTGGTATCAGGCCGGGAAAACAGATCAGCCATAGGCTTTATTTGAAAATCGAGTTTTGAGTTGGAGAATAGAGTTCAAACACCATTGACATTATATGTCTGAGCCCCGTCTATCTCTCCTTCAGTTCAGGGCTTCTCCCACCACAAAAGCAGTCAACCGCGGAGAGAGAAAGAAGGAATTTTTCCTGGAAGGGTACTCGACCCAGAAAAGTAAAATGCCCCTGATAGGACTTTGCCCACTGAACCACCGGAAAGAGAGGATGGAACCTGATATGAATAAGAGGTGTGGGCTATGAGGGTCCTAGGCGAATGGGAATAGACCCCAACCAAGATAACCTCGCTACACGACTTCGAATACTTCAGAGCTTCCCTTAGGGGCTTACACTAATGAGGAACTGAACTCGCTGCCAACAAGAAAGAAATTTCTTGCTTCCGGTACAAGAACTCAAGCAAAACAAAAAGCACGGTAGCGTAAGGGAGGACAGAATCAACAGCAGCCAAGGCGCTTAGAACAATGGGAGCAAGACTTCCAAATCTGCCCGCCATAGACGAAGACTGAGCCTCTATATTCTATTAAAAAAGTTTTTTAGAGGATCATCACTCTGATCACAGATAAACGAGATTCGATCATGTAGCAAGCGGGCTTCATACCTAAAAAGGCGTGTAGTCGGTTACTACACTCCCGCCTAGCCGTAACCAGCATGAAATATTGGATCTTCTCCCACAATAAACGTCTGGAAGAGAGAAAGCCTCCATCTTACCAGGGAGCCGGCCGTGCTTTTGCCCGAGTGGCTACTTCTTTCGCGAGTGAAAAGCTCGTTTCTTCCTTGCTTTCAAGGTTTTGGCATTCGAGGAAATGGGTCAAACAGGGGAGGAATTTACGCAAAAGCGGTGTAGTGTTGACTCGGAAAAAACAATTTAAATTAAACACGACCTTTCTGAGGCTCTGATCTGAAGAGGGTTTTAATGAATTCGAGAAAAACAGCACATTATGGCTACGACCAGCTAAATAAAGATCACTGTCATCTCACGAGTTGGATTCGAACCACATTACTTAGCAGTGAACTGTCCTGCTAATGCTAGCCTTACCCTGCAGTGAAGTTTCTTCCTTCCCTAACTCATTATAGCTCTAGACAGAAGACTAGTACCTTGCACTTGCCTCTATCTCTAACAACATGGCTAAAAGTGAGATGATACCAGGGAAAGTTCAACTACTTCTATTGGCTCTAAGCCTAGTTCTTCAAAGCAAGGCAATGAAATGGATTTAGCAAGACTAGCATTCATACCCAGTGTTTGCAATTGAATCAGCTCTATATAATTATAGAATATATATAGACTATATACTATAAGAATCGGTACCCTTGTAATTGTACAGGCTCCTATAGCAATAACCTATTTTTGTTCAGGCATTAGCTCATCTAAAGAAGTAGCCATTTTGACTGTGCCTGCTGTTAGCTGTTAAAAGGAGGTCTGCTTGTCTAGGACTCGATCGCGATCAAAGTCGAATCGTGATCCTATTAATGAAGCAAAGCAAGAACTGGTACCATAGATAAGCTGGAGAGTATTGACCAATTTGAAAGATCATTTAATGTAGTTGAAATAACTGAATTTTGGGTTGTTCGATCAAGTAAGGGAAAGTCAATGGAATTCAGAACTGTCTCAATGTTTTTTTTATTGTCTAAATATTCAAGAATTAAAACTATTCTAATGCTCCTTTTCGCCATGAACCAACAATTAGGATAAGCACGAAAATGAAAGCTTCTTTAAATACGGATACCCCTAAGACATCGAAAATCATTGCCCATGGATAAAGAAAAACATCAAAGACAAGAGCAAACATATAATAACGGATTCGAAATTGTAACCAAGCATCGCCCATTCCCGATTCATAACTAGAAAGTGTCTCCGCCCCGGGGCTAAAGCACATACATATAGAGAGGTGCAGCGGTATTTGATTGTCATAATAACGTCATCCAATCAACTACCCCTCTCTGACTCCGCGTAGTCCGACCCCTCCAAAAATGGATGTGAAATCCCTGTAGCGCAAGGAACCTGCGCTAGCGGATCAAGTCACAAGCTTATAGACCCCCCGCCTTATTGATTCTCTTTACAGGACGGTAGGAAAGGAAGTTCCTTTTTCTAATTGACACAAGCCTATTGATTGAGTTCGTAACCCGGGTCACTGAACTACTAGAACAGGAGACTAGAGTATTTCGACAAGATCAGCCCGCATTCGAAATAGTTACGAAAGCCGGAGATCATTAGTAATTTCGTTCCCAGGAAGTCTAAAGCTAGTCAAGTTTTTATGTAGAAAGCAAGGAAGCTGCAAGAAAACCAACTCTCTTGACGCCCTCGTGAGACAGCTAGGGAAGAAATGCAAAACGGTCAGCTTGGCTGGAAGCTATAGAAGGTATAGTCGTATAAATAGGCTGTCGTTACTAGTTAGGAAAGCTCCTCAATGCCAATGCCCAAATCCCTTCCGACTGAGGGCAGCCGTAGAAGAGATTATGATCCGAAGGAAGCAATGCCTTCTAATTGAGTCTGATCCTACTCCCTTAAGGTAGACAAAACTAATAAGAAATCCAATAACCCTGGCTTTCGCCCCTTAGATGAAATGCTAATTCTCTTCTCTCCTCTTTAGGAGGTCTTACAGAGGGTCTTTACTTAACTCGACCTCTAAGCCGTAGAATAGAAGATGATCGCTACTTATAATGAAATGTCATAGAAAGTCTAATTATCTCGTCTCTTCCCGGAAGAGACTATTTAGTAGTTAGAATCCCATCCCGACCTGAGAAGGGGGAGCATCCTCTATCTATGGAGATAGTCAGTTGAAAGCCTCCTCTCTTACTGGTCCCCTCTCTTCTCCCGGAGTAAGAAATGCAGTTTCCGATTCAGACTCTTTTCCTGTTACACGTAAAGAGATTGATTGAATTACTCTTTCGCATGTTGTTCAAGAGATAAGGCAGCAAGCCAGTAATCTTCCGACTTAGGAAAGCCGTAAAGAAGTCTTTCTTTTTAAAGGCTCTCTGCCAGGCATTACGAAGGCCAAAATCAGCCTCATTCCTCACCTCTTGTAGGCAAGGAAGAGGGAAGACTTATAGTTTGAGGAGTTAGTTAGGACTTAACTTCTTCTATTTAGAGTTACGAAAGCAGGACTTAAGTAATAGCCAGGAGATAAGTCATAGCTTACTTTTTCTCTTTGTGTGAATCAAGCCCTTCCGAAGCTAGCAAAGAATTGATTGTAGTATGATTTGTACAGTTACCGGGTAAATTGTTAACAAGGAAAGCAAGAACTCTTCTATTGTTCTTGCATTACAGTCCGGACTGAAGTTGGAAGAGAAGTTACAGTTGTCCGAAGTTCCATTTTAGAAGGAAATCAAACTCATGGATTTCTTCTTAGTTACCTCTTCTTTTCTTAGTCTTAGGAGAACTGGATTGCACCAAGATGACCGATTTGCTGCTTCGGCAGAGGGGCTAGTCTCAATCGAGTAGGGCGTCTAACTGCTTAAAGGGGAGCGAAGGGATTAGTAAGTGATGAAATGGGTGTAGTCAGATCAGACGCTTTCCGAGCCTAAGGCTTTTCTTTCGTCCGTCTTCTATTTAAGGCATTAGTTAGACGGCAAAAAGACATTAATCTTCCTGAACGACTTACCTCTGCCCTCTGGGACTTCTTTCCGGGTCGAGTTAAGTTAATAAATAAAGAGGGCTATTCACCAGAAGGATGGAGACTAAGCCAAGCGAAAGAATCAGACTTTGCTTTCTTCTTCCAGGCTTAAGGACTGGTATCAAGAAAATCTTAATTGTAAACTGCAGCTAGAAGATCTAGAGAGAAAGCCAAGCAAGGTCAAGTAGCTGATTCAATAGTAAGTTACCGGATCACGGTCTTAGTCCGATCAGAGGCGGGAATATCCTGTTGATCAGTTAGAAGCTAAGGGAGAATCTAACGGCTTTTCTTTCCGGGAGTGTAAAGTCCCCAAAGGTTCTTTGCAAGACAATGTCATTTTTCGGCTCTACTTCTTATATGAATCAAATCATATGCTGGAAAGCCATATCTGAGACACTTCTTTCCTATCTCTGTATAAAGATCGTAGTGCTTTCCTGCTCACTCTCCGGCTTCGTAGTGTGAAAGCCTTCGCATTCCTCTCTTCCCTGCATTAAGGGCTATCTAAATTAAGGGCTTTACCTGTTAGCCCGCTTGCTTGTAAAGAACACTACTACTTCTTACTAAGTCCTCAAGCTCTTAATCTTCTGCTTTCGTCTCTAGGAGTGAAGTCGGGATTACCCTGTAAGGAAGATTAATGGAATCAGCGGGTTTTAGAAGAGAATCCAAGGAAGTTGGCAGATCTGGGTTTTGGCCTTCTTTTCTTGTGGTCTTATCTTTCGTAGCCTTCTCTTAGTCTTCCGGGGAACGAAGTCTAATTAGACTGGTCCTACGAATGCATTCTTTAGTCAAGCAAAGAGGAAGCTAGCAGGTATGACTTCCTGGCTGTCTAAGTAAGGGATTCACCAGAGAGGGGTATTGGAATGGGAGAAGGGGCATTTTGGCCCAACTAACTAAAAGACTTGACTTTCCTACCCGATCTGTAAAGGACCTTCGATGAGATTCTAAGTCCGCGGTAACTACTCTTTCGAATGACTGATTTACGGCTGCTGACTTAGACTTCTTTCCTGCTTATCTACTAAAGCCTGTAACTCAATCGAAAAGGGATGCTAGCAGGGATAAGGCACGAAGGCAGTCAGACTTCTTTCGAACTTCTTACCAACAGAAGGAAGCTATGACTTCATTCAACTGCTTACGGCGGGGACCTTTAAGCCTTTTTAGTTAGGCTTTGATCCAATAAGGGTGTAAGAAGAGAAAGACTAGTTCGGGGATGATAGTCAGCAAAGGTAAACATCTTCTTATCTAAGGACTTCGGATCAGATGAAATAGTGAGTTCACGGGGACTAGGTCCTAAAGGCCCCTGGCTTAATGGATTGATTCTTCTATCCGCCTTCCCTAACTCCATATTAAAGGGATGCTCTAGGACTGAAGTGGGGAATCCCAATTGGTCACGAGAAGGCGTCAAGTCTGCTATTTCGTCTCATTCAGAATCTCAAGACTTCATGTCAACAACAAAGTCAACTACATCCTTTACTCCACGATCTGGCTTAGCGAGAAAACGGAAGAATTAGTACAGTCTGAGCCGTCAGCCAATAGAGTAGCTTTCTTCGTTGCTGCCAGATCTTCCAATGCTAAATCAACTGCTACAGCAATTCTTAAGGGCGGGATGGTAACTCAATCTCTATAGGGAGCAGCTCCTCCTCTATAGGCCTTTTCCTCAGTCAATTCCCGGATCAATGACTTGGGACTAGTAGGTTAATCACAGGGATGAGCTCAAAAGCGAGATGTAGTTATCTGGTGCTGCCCGATCTCTAAGTGTTGTTCTGACATGTGTGCGATTTAGCAACATAAATCTTTTGTTCTATATCCGCTCCGACTCCTTCTTTCTTTAACCGCTTGACCTATACCTAAAAGCCCTACCGTCAAGGTTTGGAACTAATGGAGGAGGTCTACTTAGGCCCGCAGGAGCCAATTCTGTTGATGGAAGGGCAGCTGCTTCAACCGAAGAATGGGATGAATTAGTTCTATCCTTGGTCTTTTCTAGCGGATTGTATCCTGAAAAGACATCCATGAATGAAAACAATTTAAGGTGAGTTATGTCAAAAGGTCTCCTCTAATGAGGATTCTGGTGCCCCTTCTCGTCTCGAGTTGAGGTTGCTAATGTCCCCACCTTCGCCCGCTTTTAGAAGTGGATTCGAACCACTGGACTCTATTTTCTGAGGATACATTGATTCTGTTCAGCCGTTACCATTCTATATGCCTTTTCCGCCTTAAAGCCCTTCTCCCGGATAGGAAATGTATGCAAACGATGCAGGAATCGAAGTTGAGTGATTCAGTAAGATAGAAGAGCAATTGACTAGTTTGTTTCCGTCTTTCCTACAGGTTGACCGATTCAGCTCGGCCAATTGAGACAGATAGGGAGCATGCCATTCAAGGGCTGGTTTTCCTATTTATTTGAAATCTTATCCCGTCGTCACCTTGTAAAAGCTAATGCTACACCCAATTCTTATTTATTAGGACCAACCGGCACACAAACGGGTGAACCCACCTTGTCTAAGACGCGAAGGAACGAACATTTGAAAGAGATGGTGACAAACAAGGAAATCGGCGCATTTGGCTCTACCTCTCACGCCAAACCATCGTGGTTGGAACTTGTTTCAATGAATAAAATTACCAGAATGACCAAAACATCTCTTCCTGAACAGGCCCAGAGGAAATACAATCATTGAAGTCGTCCCCGGCAATCATCTTTGAAGTGACACAACAGACTATGACTAGACATCTCGAGGAATCCACGCTTCTCACATCTCGTAAACAACTATACATCTTGGAAGCAAAGGCCAGGAGCAAAGGTATATACCCCTGGTCAATCCACAGTCAATCATCCAGCAACAGATTAAGTAGTCGAAAAAGCAGTAGACATTACAGAAGTTGAGAAGGCGCTTTCTCTTAACTCAGCATGGTCATACAATAAGAATAAGAAGTTGGCTATTCTCAGGTCTGGGCTGGGTATCCATATTAGGTTAGGGAGTCAACAAATCCCAGTCATAAAGGACAAGAAGAAATCGGACCAGAAATGGAAGAATGCCTATCACACAGATGGACAGCATTCTAAGGCCCTAAATAGAAGGAAATGAACTGATTCTATGGAATTTGTATTATTAGCCTTCGTGACGTGACCAATACCTTAAGCTCACTTCACTAGAGCGAATACTGATCCGTTTTCTTTATATCCTTCTTCTGGGCTACTAGTATTTAGTGGTATCGGTTGAAACCCTTAGCAGTCGAGATCTTATAACCTTACCCTTAGTTGAACACTCAGCGTCTTCAATTCCTCGCCGTCAGTCCTGTCGAGCGATTTCATACCATAGCTAACGAGGGAAGCAATATTAAGTCTTAATCTTTCCCTAGGTAGAAATACCATAGTGGCTTTCGGTCAATCATGGTGCGAAGCGAAACAAATTCCTTCCCTTGCCGTGCAACTGCAGCAGAGATGGGCCTATTCTCATCCGGTTGGAGCCAATCCTACTCTAGGTCCCTACTGGCACCGCAACAACTTCTTGTTCCCGGTCCCAAACGCCTACTCAAAACGTTGAGGGGGTAGCCGTCAAAAAAAATG